CTCTTTTGTATTTTTCACTTTTTGCCATTCTTACTAAAAATTTTAACAAAAAGTGGGCATTTTAGCTCACCCCTCCAAAACATCAGCATTGTTTGCACCTACTAATTCAGACGAACTCAGTAGTATGCAACCATGTGTTTGTTTTGTTTATCAATATGGTGCTATAGTATGAAGAAGAGATTGTCATCTCTATTTAGGAGATACCCAAGTTGAGTTGGTGCCCAGAATGAGTCCTAAAAGCTAAACCAAAGGTTTACAATCGAGATATAGTAATTAGTTGCAATTATTATATAATTTTTATCTTTATATTTGGCATGGGCTATAATAGTGTATCATGTCTACTTTCTTTTTTTTCATTTTTTCATCTTTGTTCATTTATGTTAGACTATTTTAGGAATTTTAGTTTAGTTTTTGCTTTTTTTTATCACCATGAGGTGTTTTTTTTCTAAAATATTTATGTCTTTTGTAAACATGACTTTACGATTTTTACTTTTATGTACAAATAAGGGTTTTATTTGTGTTGTTAGGCTTAGGTGGAAGAAGTCTAAAAGAAGAGAAGGTAGTCATAACAGGCAGCAAGGTTCACTGTTGAGAGCCGGGTCATATCCAAGTGCAGGAAGGGTCCGGAAGGAGGGAAATCTTGCTATAGCAGGTCCAATATAGATACCAATTGAGGTAACCAGGTTAGTTTTAACTTGTAATTTAGGTAACATTAGGTTTAATGCTACAGCACTTGTCGTTTAGAGATAGTTCTCATATGCTATCTGCTGACAAGTTAAGAGTTTATCACTTACCTTTCTAAATGCAACTTAGTGTAAAATTTTACCAGTCTAGAAGACTCATACAAAGCCTAATAAAGTTAAAGCATGACTGCTGAATTTAAAAAAAAAATTTCATTATATATATACGTATATAAGTTTTGTAAGATGATACACAAATAAATTATTTGTTTAGTTTTCTTTTTTTTTTTTGTATAAATAGACATTCTATTCAGTAGCAAAAATTTTTTTTTGAGCGAATAGCAGTGCATCTCAGAGCAGTGCTCAATTCTCAGAGCACTATAAAATAGTGTGCTCTGAGATAATTTGCCTAATTTTTTACAATCATTTTACTTTGTGTAATAAAAATTTCTTCGTTTAGTAAAATGATATTTTCTATTTCACCTTTGATTAGCAGTAAACTAATATCTATAAGGTAATATACAACCTTTAAAGGAAATTAATCATAGCACAAAACTCAAACAATCTTGACTAAGCGCTAATTAAAACTCAGCAAATGACTCTCTACCAATCATAATCATAAATTGTCAGATAACACCATTATTGGGCAAATTGTCGAATATGATAATTTGACAAATGATTGGCTACATGTGCCACTTTGCGGCACATGCTCATTTGCCAAATTACTATTATTCAACAATTTTTGCCCAATAATGTATACTTATATTCACAGGTTAATTAATAGAATCAACCAATTTCATAAGATTATTTAATATAATTATCACCAACAAAATGTAACTAATATTTGCTTAGTAATCTAATAATTATATTTACTCAATTTTTTCAATGTAATTCTGTATTAGTAGTAATGGTAGTTTTAACAATTCTTATTGAATTAACTCTCTCAGCTATTTTATCTATTTTAACTCATTTATTTTATTTAGAGAGAATTTTTTTTTTTATATAAATATGCATATGGGCTAGGTGCTGGAAAAAGAAATGAAAATGACAATTTTTTCAAACTAAATTTTTTTATATAAATTAATTTAGAATAAGATTAGAATCTTTTTTCACTTAAGACACAAAAGTAGTTGTGTTAATAAAATTTTGCAGTATAGCTCTTTAAAGTTTGTATTTTCTTATAATCTATTATAATATTTATAACACAAAAATTGATTTTCTGAAGATCTTTTGTTTGTCGATTTCGTTCCTTTTTCCAGCACCTAGCCCATATGTATGTAAGTACTTAGATAATTTTTATTTATTTAACTGACTCGATTTCCACCTGAGTGACCTATCGGTTAACTCGGGTGGAGATTTTTTAGACAAGTTAGATCATTAATATAAAATTATTTTAATTGATTTATAATGATAAGTTTTTAAGTTAAATTATCCATATATTAAGTGGAATTCCCTACCAATTGGCGTTTCAGAGTCAACTTATTTTGAAAATAAGTGGGAGTTTGAAAAGTCTTATTTTTGGTTTGAAATTTCGATATCAGAAAATAAAAAAGGAGTTATCTGGAGATAAAATAACCAAACTTTTTTTAATGATGTATATTATAACTTATTATATAAATAGGGTTGTAAATAAAAATAAATAGGATTTTTAGATCGCTGATTAAATACGTCACTAATTTAATTGTCCGAAGGACATTACGCGAGAGTCATAGTGACCTGTTTGCGTGTGTGTCCGCAAATTAAGAGGTTTGATTGGTTGATTGATAAAAACAAACATTTGCTCCAAAAATACCCATTGTCGGACTGATCCGTGATAAGTCCTTCGGACCTTAAATGGTTTCCATTTACCCAGTTTAAAATCAGAAACTGAACCCCTAATTGAATCATTTTAGAATTCCATTGCAATAAAAGTCGATTCGGAATTCTTAAAAATTCAATCTTGACATATGTACGTAAGATACTAAGGAGAGCCCTGATTTCTCCCTCAAGTAGTGATTGAACATGTGAAATCCGTCTTTAATTGGATAAATTAGATCACACTACTTTAGCACAACCGCAAGTCAAAAACGTTCTAGTTTTTCTTCAATTAAAAAAAAAAAAACAAAACTAAATTATTTTTTTAAGCGAAAGTATATTATTAATGCACTGCCATAATTATTTTTGCTATAAAATATAATCGAAATAATCTAAACATTAACTAAAATATGTGCTTCTGACACAACCAAAAAAATTTTTATAATGTTTTTGTTCGGTACTTTATTCTCAAGAGAATAAAAGTTTTTGCTGAGCCTACATTTACATGCTTGTAATGTTAAATATACCTAACTCTGTTTCAAAATTCCTTAACTATATCGAAAAGCATAGGTACGACTGGTCAAGTGATTGGAAGAATGCCGGCTAGCAAAAGGTGCCGGAAATAAATTCAATTAAATTCAAATAAAGGACTTGAAGTCCGCAGAATACAATATGAGTAATTTGGCTAAGTAATTCGAACTGAAACGATGATATGCTCCTAGAAAATTAGCAAGTGAGATTGCGCCAGGTATCATCGTAACAGTAGAACGAGCGAGAGGCAGCATCAGCCGGTGGTTTCCCGCCTGCTCGAAGCAGGCCGGCTGTTAAATAGGAAAATGGCAGAATCAGGAGACTGTTCCGACCATAAGTGTGGTGGGAGAGGTTGGGTCGAGAAAAATTTTGTCGCCAGAGACTATTTTGTTGAAGTGGAAAGAGAGTGTCGAAAACGATTCTTCGTCGTCAAATCCTTATATATTGATCGACTCTGATCAGTGGCTTTTCTCTTACGTATTTCTGACAGTGTATAATTCATGCAATTTCGCTTGATTGATCGATTCTTGATCCCGACCCATGCCCCATGCCTCCTGACCCGTGATTGATCGGGGTTGTGGTTGTAGCACGTGGCGTGTAACCGTGACCAGATCTTTCCCTTTCTTTTCGATCTGTTGACCCTTGTCAACCCGCATTTGAGCCGCGATTTTTACTTTTGTTTAAAAAATAATTGATTTTATTGATAATGATACAATACTACATTTGATTTCTAGATTATACGGGTTATGGCACGATTCTCCGGAAGCTAGTTCCCTGCCAGCTCATTTTCTCGACATCTTATCCCTGGTAGTATATTTTATCTACAGCATATCTTTCCGACAGGACATCTCTCTAACGTGACATGTCTTTGGAGCCCCCTTTTCTTGACACGACATATTTTCGAAAAAAACATTACCTAATTTGATATAATTCAGAAACCATATTTTCCTGACATAGCATATTTCCGATATTCTTTTTTCCAACATGCAAATAATCGACGTTTTATCAAATTGAATTAACTGTCGGTAAAATGGGTTGTATGGAAAAGCCACTCAATAAAACTTAGTGTCGGAGAAAAGAAATTAGAAATATGTCATGTCAGAGAAATGTCTTGTCGAAAATATGGTATGTAGGAGAAAGAAGCTATCGAAAACATGTTATGTTGGGGAAACATTCTGCCAACAAAAAGTGGTGTAGATAAAATATTCTGTCAGTAGTATGGTGTTAGGAAAATGAGATTAGGTTTCGGGGAATTGAGCGACAATCGATTATACGTGATGTGTGAAGCATAAAATTTTGATAAACCAATACCAAAAAAAAAAAGAAATGATAATCAACTTTACTATTTAAAATTTTTTATTTGATGCAATAAACTACATGTCTTGTAACTTTTTATTATTCTATTCAGTTATATACAGTTCTTCTAAATTTTATTTTTACCATTGCTTCTTTTATTCTAAATTGGTTCTTATTTGATAGTAAATTCTATTTTATTGGTAGATTCCTAGCATTATGAACGAATTACCATTACAATAACAAAAATTATCTTTGCAGAAACCCGTATTTTTTTTGCTAAATACAATTATTAAATAATAACTAAAAACAAACAAGCTTGCTATATTGAAAATTTTATGTAGTGATTTATACTACACATCAAACATCAAGCAGCCCCCAAAAGGAAAACCACTTTAGGTTATACGTATATTAATATTTATTAGTAGAAATATTATTTTTAAATGCTTTGTTTATGCTATATTGAATTTTTTTGAATGCTTTATTATGTTATGCAAAATGGCAAGTAAATTTGAATGGAACATTGTTAATCAATTTACGGAAACAGAGAATGATAAATGACACCACTTAAAATTATAAGTCTAATTGAAAATAAAATAATATACCACATGCGACAACAGTATTTGACAATAAACTTTTTTAACGTGTGTTTTTAAAATGCAAAAGACGATGTAATAATATAGCTATTATCATTTTAGTTTATCACCTTTTTTGAGCATAAACACGAACCTGCGTGCTAAAAGAATCTAATTCAATTATTTCGTCTTTCATATTTTTAACTAAATTATCATATTCATCACTAAGAACGCCAATTACACTCATAAGCTTTGGTTTCACAGACTTAAGAAAAGTAGCATAATTTTCAGCCATCTAAATAATTTAAAGATTTATATACAGAATAGGCAAATATTTAAATGATTTCATAATATTAAAAACATATACATTACCAAACTACATAACTTTTTAGCGTCATCACCATCGTAATTTTTTTTAATTTCAGAATGAACATTATGAAGTTGTATATGTTCTTCTAAATAACCTTGTAATTTGTAACATATTTGTCTGTCTAAACCACGTTCATTAAATATAAATATTACTTAAAAAACAATGTATAACATATATAAAGTTAGGATATTATACAGCCAAGGAATATTTTTAAACGACCAATGAGAAAAAAGAATCTTACAGCCATTAACAATCTTTGTTGTCGCAGGACCCATGATACTATATTGAAAATCGACTTCAAACAACTAAATAAATAAAAATTAAAAATTAAAAAATTAGCCAACGGCTGGTGAAATTTAATAATAAAAACTAATATAAAAAATAATAAAGCAAACCTCTATATAACCACCAGGCTTTAATACGCGAACTAACTCATTAATTACAGATCGCCATTCATTTCCAGGAATTCCAGCAAACAATAATCGTTGAAATACAAAATCAAAAGTATAATTATGAAATGGTAAACGTTCTAATACATTTGCCTGAATAAATTCAGCATTTTTAGGTTTAATACAACTAGGTTGAATTAGAGAAATATCTATGCCAATAAATTTTGATAGTGGATAATTTGTTGACATTTCGAGTAACCAAGAACCAGCACCTGTTCTAAATTAATTATTAAAAGAATTATAATCAGTTAAAAAGAACAACAATGGTGGTAGTTTAATGATAGTAATTACAATTGTATTTATTGACTACGTATATAAATATAACTGAATTTGGGTCAAAATCCCGAAAAGCAGATTCTCGAAAGAACATAATATCGATAAAGTTAGTCGGCACTAGCTATAATGCTGGCCGATTTAGTCAGTGTTATGTTCTTCGGGAATCTGTTTTCGGGATTTTGACCCAAAATCATATAACTATACTTATAAATAGCAATTATAATTATAATTATATTAATTGAGGGCATTGAAGATTATTACTTATTTAATTACTTGACTAGGATATAGCAGATGTGTTTTGGTAAATTCGACTGTAACTATACTAGCAATAGTCATTGTAATTATGTCTATTATAATTATAATTATAATTATAATTGTAATTATAAATGTAATTATAATTAGCAAATTGATAACAATAACTATAAACAACGTACCCTACATCGAGAATCTTTGTTCCTTCTTGATTAAGAAGAAGTTCAACAGGAGCGGAAAAGTTACTTTGCCAAACACACCTATATATAAAATGCATCATATGCAGCCTGTCACATTCTTCATCATCATTAGGTAGAAAGTATTTTGAATTATTTATATTATGAAATCTTCTACCATCTTCAAAACGATATTTATCAGAAATACTCGAATGATTAGAATTAATAGAATCTTTTTTAAATTTACTACTGTGAAGTCCCATATCGAAAAGAAAATTTTATTACTAATGCTAACGGTAATACCAACATTACCAGTTTTTATTTGTTTTCAGCATGGATATTAATCTGTAGTCACATAATATTGCAATCGAAAACAAATACTAAATTAGGAAATGGCTATCTACGTAGAATTTCATGATAAATACCAATACAGTACATACTTACGTACTGTACATACAGTACGTACTTATGTACATACATTGCGTACTTTACGTATACAAATTGTACATTATTTATTAACTGATGTAATATGTCAGGTATATCATAAATTCCTAGTCCATTTTTCATATAGATAGAGGTTCAATAGGCAGACATTCGTATGATTGGCAGTTTAAATCAAATTAATTTTAGATTATTTATACAGTTTAAAGTACTTTTTTAAAAAAAGAAAACTACGAAGAATAAACAAGAAAGTTTTATTAGGGTTGTAGCCTACAACGCTAATAAAACTTTCTATATCCTTCTTTTTTGTTTATTCGTAGTAGTTTTCTTTTTTTAAAAAAGTACTTTTAACTGTATAAATAATCTAAAATTAATTTGATTTAAACTGCCAATTATATGAATGTCTGCTACCGCAGTCTTATTTTGATTTAATCCATTAAATAGACTTAAATAGACCAAGTACCGAAGATATTTGGAATTCTATTCTTATTGATATTATTATAATTTAGCCAGAATCACCATTGTATAATTTTATAATATCGTAATATGATTTATTTTACGAGGATTAAAGGGATAATATAAAGGTTGCAACAGATCATTATTGTATAAAGTTCACTTTATATTTCAGTTTCGTGTTGATAATTTGTATAGTCACATTGAATTTATCTCCTAATTTGAGCAAGTCTTTTTTATAAAAAAAAAAAAAAGTTATTGATCTTGTATTAGTGGATCGTCATCTTCCAATATTGAAGATTGTAATTTTAAACCAGTGATAGTCCAAAAAAACCGAAAACATACATAATTACACTTGTATGCAAGTATCTGACCATGGAAAAAAAATTAGATCATGATATACTAGCGTCTAGATACTTTAATACATGTTTTTATCAGTTTTGTTCAAAGTATGTAAACTAGTTAAATCATGTATCTTTTTAAACTTTCTATGTACTTTTTATGTTATAATATTGTTGACACTATGAAAACTTCTGGCTTAGAATCTTTTTTATATCCTGATCATCATATCAAGATCGCAGGGTATAAATCAGTTATATACTGTGTTCTATGTGTTTAAGCGGAAATGAAATTTCCGCCTACAGTATACCCATGCCATCTAGTGTATAACTATTACTTGTACACTCAATCGCATGACATACATATATATAATTTTTCAATTACAGTTAAACTTTAGATCTGTTCGGATACCAAAAATCTTTAAACAGATAAAATCTTGATAAGAAACTTTTTAAAACGGATATCTGTGTAGAACTTTTTGTAAAACGGCAGAATTAATCAAAGTTTTTATGTCGCATATTATAGAAAAGTAAGGTTCAATAAATTTCAATCACTCTATAAAAAATAAATAATCAATAATAATATTAATAATCATTTTATTATTAGAATTCTTTAACCAAGATCCATGCACAAGAGATATGGACCTTTATGTTTTACTACAAAAAAGAAACCCTGAAGCACTAGTACTATGTAAGGGCATATCAAAGTCCACAATACAAAAAAGCATAATATACTTCAATGAAGCAAAAAAAAAACAACAAAAAAAAAGGTATGCACAAGTATAGAAAAAATTTTTTTTCATTTACATGAAAACTGCAAAATATAATTACTAGTTTATTTCACTTTGTACACTATTAAGCAATCCTTTCAACCGTTCTACTTCTGCCTCCAATCCTTTCAGCCGTTCATTTTCAATCATCAATTCATGAACTTGATTTTCGAGTTGATCGCTCTTGTAACGTTTTTTATTTCGATGACGTCGAGCTGCTAATCGATTACGTTCTCTCCGTCTAGCATCTCGTCGATTTTCTTCTTCCAAAATTCGTTGTCGACGCGGTTTACTATAGATATCCGAGTTAGTAGAATGCCGTTGTGATGACATATTAGAAACCAACGTTGCAAATTCATTAGTATGTGTGGCTCCTTGTTTGCTTTCTTCCATAGATGTGCTATCATTGCTAGTGTACGCTGATTTGATTGGAGATGATGTAAATTGCGTAATATTTTCTGTTAAGCTAGTAAACACTGTTTGATGTGACTCTGGTGGAATTATTCCAAGTTGACTTTGTTTCAATAATGTTGTTGAGTTCAGATCAATAAAGCCTTCGATAAATTGATCTGATGTCCGTTGTTGTCCTAATGTCGAATGCGCAATAGAAGATGCATATGTTGAAAGATCATTTGACGTTTCAGTGATCAACAATCTTAGATTAATAAAAGGTGTAGCAAAAGATGGATATGGTTCATAACGATATTCGTAAATCGATGCCGGTTCACAAATTTCATTAGAGATCATAGGCGTACTAAAGTTGACAGAGTACGGTGCATGAGTTATATAAGAATAATGTTCTTGATCAAAAAAGAAAAAGAAAAGAAAGAAGAAAAGATGGGAAGAAAAAAAAAAAAAAGGTTAGAAAAAATAATAATTTTTGCTTGACTTTTAAACTTTACTCAAGAAAGAAAATAGAAATACAGTGATCAACAAAGAAATCTCTTTCTTACGTTTAAAAGGTGAATAAAAACCGTTATGATGCTGAGAAACCAACTGATCGCTTTGAAGGCAAGGCTGTTTAATCCTTTCTGTAGGGCTCCACCACAATATATGATTAACATCAGACATCCTTCTTGTATAAAAGATTAAGAAATTAGTCTAATTAAGATTTTACTCTAAAAATTTCTCATCTTAATCATTCATGCATTTCGCGGACTAATTATTGGTGGCAACAATGTGAAAAAATTCTTACACAAGTTAGATTATAATTTTATCTCACTAGATTATACTTTCAATAACGAACACGATCTTATGTCTCAATTTTTGCACGAGGTTTTATCTCATATTACGTCAACACTCTGTCAATTTCATTTATGTTCATATAACAAAGGAAATGTGACGTTATATCAGGTTTGAATTCGATAAAGTTTGTTCAATTGTATCAAAAAAATTAATTCGTAATAGTTGGTCTCTCTTTGAATCATAGTTGCATTAACTAACTTATGATTTAATCACTTTTCGTCAATTATTAGTTTTTAAAACGTCAGATAAACGTAATAAAAACTTGTGCTTGTAAAATATCATACGATTCTAGGAACAGGTTTGTTAAGTTCTAGCCTTTGACCATTGATCCTAATTAAAGTTTTTAATGTCTTACAAAAATTTATAATAGCTTGACTAAAAAAAATCTGGCTCCCATACTGCACTGGCACTAGTGCCTGACATTGCTTATAGTTACTGGCATAAAAACTTACTTAATTTTATATTAGCGCAAAGTAAATATATATACAGTAGGTCCGGCACAAAAAACTTATTGTTCGAAAAAATGTCAATTTTATTTATAGGGTTTGAAATTTCTATGGTAAAAAGTCTAAAACCAACCATCATGTAATGACTTATATGACTCAATATTGTGTCATTTCAAAGTCTAAATGACTTAAGTTGTTAACATACATTAATTGACAATCTAAATGCTTTTTAACCAATCGAAAATAGTCATCAGATTAATTTTTGGTTTTCTGGGTAGGAAATTAGGAAACAAAATCCGAGTTATGAGCTAGTAAATCTTTGTACGTAAATCAAAAATCCGAGTTTGTTTTTTAAAACAGTAAAAGCGAATTTTACCTTCATATGTATAATTATAGCGGACTTATTAAAGTTTTACTTTGTTGATTTAATATATATTAATTTAAAATAATATGATTTAAAGATTTGATTAGTGTCGTATAATATTTTCTTGTTATCTAATGAATATTTGTAGACACGGGCACTTCACAGGATAATAGTAAAATCATATTCTTCGACTACGTGATTTATTATTATTCTGTAAAATATGCGTTCATTAATTAACTAGCTGTCCATGGCATGGCGTAACAATCCGTGCAGCACGTAATAAAATAAATTTCTCTTTTTGTAATTAAGTATACAATTAGTTTTTAGATTGATTTGTTTTAACTTTTATTTTTTTTGCTAGCAAACGGCAAAAACGTCGGTTTTGACGCATTTTTATTGACCTGCCTTAAAAAGTTTCACGTCAATATGATTTGACAATTCAATGTAGATTAAAAATATATAGCCAATGCGATTTTGAGTTTCATATCTATTGAATTTCAATTTTTTTTTGTAATATTTTGATGTACGATCCACGATACCCACGATGAGAATTTTTTTTTTTTTTTTGAATAGGTCAGGTGGGCCAAATGTGTAAAAGAAAAAAGGATTTATTAATTTTGTGCACCTTATTGTAACATATAAACAATAATTAGGATTAGGGTTAGAATTAGGGTTAGAGAGTTAGAGGTTAAAGTTAGGTTAAGGTTAGAGGTGAGAATACTACAGGGTTAGTCTAAAAAACATAAAGGGGTGCACATTTTAAATAAACCCAAGAAAAAAAAAAAATTGTATCATTCTTATTTATTTTTTTTTTTTTGGTATTAAGGTGAGGCCTTGCTTGTATCTTTATTGAGTAATTTATATAAGTAATTACATAGAGACTATATAAAAACTAAATTTGTAT